CCACCCACGGCCTCATTGTGCCACTGTTTGGTCTCCATAAACATTCAGCAAGCATCGATGAATGTCAGTGGATGCAGTATTTTCTGTATGAAAGAACTCATTTACATGTTTTTGGTTTGTATGCAATTCGGTGTTAGACACCATTTTGTCAGACTGCCTCTCTGCTGTCTCAGTCACAGGGTAACCAAATCAAAGAATCATAGAATGGCCTGAGTTGAAAGGGACCACAACGATCATCTAGTTTCAACCCCCCTGCTACTTGCAGGGTTGCCAACCACTAGACCAGGCTGCCCAAAGCCACATCCAGCCTGGCCTTATGAACGCATAGAGAGATGGGGCATCCACAACATCCTTGGGCAACATGTTCCTGTGAGTCACCACCCTCTGCGTGAAAAACATCCTCCTAGCATCTAACCTAGACCTCCTCTGCCTCAGTTTAAAATAATTTTCCCTTGTCCTATCACTATTCACCCTTGCAAACAGCCACTCCTCCTGTTGATATGCTCCCTTCAGGTACTGGAAAGCCACAATTAGTCTCCTTAGAGCCTTCTCCAAACTAAACAAGCCCAGCTCCCTCAACCTTTCCTTATAGGAGAGGTGTTCCAGCCCTCTGATTATCCTAGTGGCCCTCCTCTGGCCCATGAGCAACCAATAAATTAAACTACAATTTACCAGTATTTCCAATCCACCAATTCTTGTTGGGGTACAGGGCACAACATATAAATGGTTTGATGTAAAACATGTGAAAACCAACCAAAGAATTAGGCCACTATCAACAAGGTTCGCAATGGGAAGAAGGAAAAAAGGGGGTTAATCAAATTTGACCAATTTGGGTACCTACTACGAAGTCCTTTTCTCTTAACAGTTTTTTATTACTTGGGAGATTCGTTAAAAGAATATATATCTCTAGGCCATTTTTCCTAAAAAGAGTGAGCAGAAATCTTCTTCTTTTTCTTTTTCTTTTCTTTTTTGCCAGAACTTAACTGTGAATTTAATTAGTTTGCAATGCATTTAGAAACTGTCATGGTTCTATGTTTTTTTGTTTCTGTTTTTTGCTTTTGGGTTTCAGTATTCCACATCAAAACATCATGTAGTGTACGGGGCATTAAAGTGTCACTGCCCCAATCCCAGGTACCTATCCCTGTACATTACAGCAGTCACGGGATCTGGCCCTTCCGGGTGGGGGGGAGGCGCTCTCTTGCTGCCTTGCAGTGGGTGCTGGAGGGTGCTTTCCTGGCCGTTCCAAGCTTTTCAGGTTTGACTCGGTCCCGGGAACTCTCTCTCTCTCATCTTGTCTGATTTATTGATCTCAATTTCAATTAAATTGTATATATTGTGTTATCTTGTATTCCAATATTATAGTAAAATAAGTTTTCCTCCATAGATTGTTGCCGCTGCTCTTTTCCTCCCTTCCTTGCTTCCCATTTTTTGTGGGACTGGGTGGGGGGGGAGGGCAGAGGCCTGTCACCCCTGTCACGGACATAGATTGATCTGGTCAACTCCGTGACAGAAACACAACAAGAAACTTTCACAAATCTTACACAACAGAGATATAAAGACTATCCTCTTTTATTTCTTAACCTAACTAAACAGATGAAGAAGAAAAAGCCATGAGCACTTTCAGGCAAAGCTGCTAAAGTTATTCAAGCTCTGTGCGGTTATTAATCTGGGGAAATTGAAAGAGGTGAAGAGTTCAGCAATATGTCATTTAATAAACAAAAATAAATGCAATACAGTACGTTCTAGTGTATAACAGACTTGACAGTTTATCCTTATTAATTATTATCTTGGTTACACTTCATGGGTAAGGAAGGAAACTTAAGATATCAAAATGTTTCTCTTCAGTAACTAAGAGATATTTATTTTCACATATTTGTTCACATGTTCATGTCAATGACCTGTATACATAGTCTAAGACATCTCTGACTAATAACCTAATGTTTTTGTTGTAATTGTTCGTGCTGTGTATATGTGAGCAAGGTGCCTAGACCTACAAAAAAGAATCATTTTTATTTTTCCTGGGAGGAAGAGAAAGTTCACATGGTACAAGTCTACATAACCTACAGAATTAATCACATTATGTAACAGGAATCTAAACTGTAATTTAAAAGATATTTGTGTTCACTTGGTCATGCGGTAGTCTAGAATACGTCCTTTACCTCACTGGCATATGTCAAAATTACTTGCAAGGAAACATGAAGATAAGAAACTCTGAAAGACTAAGAAAAACAGTTTCATCTTTTTTTCTAGGAAAAACAATTTATTCATGAAGTATATGTAGTGACAACAGATACTTCTCCAGTATAGCTTTTTTTGGTTTAGCTCTTCTTCACTGTACACTGACAAAATACTTTATAGTTGTGAATGTGCTCTGAATAAGATTAAGAGAGCTTTCTAGATTTCTTTTGATGATAGAGAACTGTTTATACATTTTCATACCTGAAATTAACTGCAAGACGCTAGTGAAAAATCAGGTATATATACTAAATTAATGTATCATTTAGACGCAAAAAATGCTTATATATACTGAAATGTGAAGAAATTAAGTAGTGTTAAAATGCATATAAAACTACACAGAATACACTGAAGAGCTGAGACTTCAACCATTAGACAAAAATAATGTGAGACTCTTTCAGTTACAATCTGTAATAATTTTTACTTTTTTTCTTCATAATTGCTTGCTAGTCTGTAGTAGAAAGCTGATAAAGGACTGAATCACTTTGTTGGGTGATCTCTATATATTCACTGAGTGACATCTGAAGTACATTTAGAAAAAAAATGTTACAATATAATGACATTTATATTTATCTAAGAAACTGAAGAAAACCTATGCAACAAAGTTAAGATGAAACCAAATAAAAAGCTATCAACTACTCACATCAAATGATTAACTGAAGTCTTAATACATTAATCAAGGATTAATCCTATCTAAGAATTACAACAGGGTAAGGAAAATAGGCAAATAGGCAATTTTCCTCTCTCCTCTCCACTCCTGTCTCTTCTGCTTTAAGGTTTTTTTGTTTTTTTTTTTTAAGCTCTGAATACTGAAGGCAAAACTGAGACCCTAGGGAGTTTGCAGTCCAGTTGTGAAAGAAATCAATATTTAAAATGCACAGTACAAATTTTTCTTCCCTGGAAAGTAGGAGTTTATGTCCTGAATTTCTTGTTCTGTTCAATACTGAACTTAATCAAAGCTAAAACAGAAAGCCTAATATTGGTTTGCAACTAGAAGTATAGCTGCAGTGACAAACTAAATAAAACAATAACAAAACTGTTAATTACTGTTTGAATTCTCTGTTTCTCTGAAGGGCTTTTAAAGCTGTAGTGCTTTATGAATGAGGAGTCAGAACATTCCAACTTGATGGAAAGAGTTTTCTTCAAATTTATTCCTGAATTCATAATATGTTAGTATAACAAATTTTTGGTAGCTCACAAGTGCATCAGCAGTGCATGAAGCAGACTGAAGCTGAGTGCACCTCAAAGAAACTTCTTTTCCCAACACTTTCCTAGCAACACTTTTTTTTTTTTTTTTTTTTTTTCTAAAATACTACTTTCTAAAGGTGGATTTCAGGCATTCTGTACGTTGTCCTATTTCTGGCAAATTCTCATGCAGTGTAATTTATAAGCTTGCAGGTGATGATATGCAGTGTAGTTTTGCAGTGTAGTATCCCTCTCCCACATTTCACCACAAAGCTTTTAATTCCAGAATTCAGAACGTCCCAGATGCACAGAATATTTTGTGACATCCATCCCATGTGGGCAGATGTTCCCAAACAGATTTCTCTGTTATGAAGGAACTTCCCTTGGGTTTAGCACTGTCAGACTGCATTAAGAGCCCACATAAAAGGTAAGAAACAGATGTGCAGTACTATTTCAGTTTGACACGCTGTTTGTCTAGCCTATGTTTTCTACTCCTACAGCAACACTGAGCCAAGATGCTAATGAATGGAGCCTGCAGAATAAATCGTTAACCTGTAACCTCATCCAGTCAGCATGCAGTCTATTAAGTTTGTACTCCTGTGATTCATGCTCTTGTGTTCACTGTTACTGCTGCATTTGTTTCCATGTATCTTTCTCCCAGTATTACATAGTGTCATACAAGCCAAAATAGCAAGGTGCTGGAGAGGGAGAAGCAGGGGCTGTGAAAGACAATTAGCGACCTGCCGACTTACTTGCATGAGGATGACTGAAGCATCCCTTTCCCTGTGTCTCCTCACACTGATGGCCCCAGAGCACATCTGCGTCACATAGAAGGGAGGGGGCGGCTTGGCGAGAGGCACTGAGACACACAGAAAATTGCATAGTGAGGACCTTGACAGACTCACAGATTCTCTTCCCCCCCTCCCCAGTCCCCCCGCCTCCTACATACAGCATATATAAAGGAACCCTGCTTTAACCCTGTGCCAGCTCTCTGGCTTTGCTATCCCAGATAACTGTAGGCATAGGACTCCCCTGAGAAATGGGATGGGAAGGCGGGAGGTGGAGAGAGGCTTCCAGGTGACTTCTCCTCCTCCAGCAACGCCCGGGCACGGAGCTCCAGGAGGCAAGGAAGAGCCACCTGCCTCCTGCTGTGGCTGCCGCTGCCGGTCCTCTCCGGCCGCCGGCTCCGCTTGCCCCTCCGTTCATCAAATTACCGCTTCTTTACAGCCTCTCACCCGCTCTTCTCTCGCAAGTGCCTGTCTCCCCTGAGAGGTGTCTCTCATTTCTGCCTCTCTCTCCACCCCTTTCCACTGATCACCGTGCAATTCTCGTCAGCTCTGGGCATCTCTTCCTCTCCCTTCCCTGTGCTGGGTGTCTCTACCTCCTCTCGGCTCTGTGCATCGCTCCATCCATCCATCCTCCCTCTCTCTCCGCACTGGTGTGTGCGCGCATCTCCCTCCAGCCGCCGGCTGCCAGCCCTCGCCCTGCAGCGCTGCCCGGAGCAGCCGCCGCCGCCGCCCGGCCCTGCCCGGCCGCCGTGAGTCCCGCCTCAGCCCGCGTCCTCCGCCCGCCTCGGCACCATGTCCGGCTCCGGCAGGAAAGACTTCGACGTGAAACATATCCTTCGCCTCCGCTGGAAACTGTTCAGCCACCCCTCGCCGGCGGGCGGCCCGGCGGGGGGGGGCTGCTTGCCGCCCGACAGCAGCTTCGAGCACTGGGGGCCCAGCCAGAGCCGCCTGCTGAAGAGCCAGGAGAGAGGAAACGGCGCCTTCTGGAAGAAATCCGCCTCCTCCGCCTCCTCCTCGGCGGCCACCACCGCCAGTCCGCCCAACGGGACGCTGCTGCCCGCCGGCGGCCGGCTCCGCGGGGGGCACGGCCCGGGGCCTCCGCCGCCCCGCACCGTCTTCTACGTGGAGTCCCTGGAGGAAGAAGAGGAGGAGGCGGAGGCGGCGCCCGGCAGGATGGAGGTCGCCCGGGAACCCGAGAAGCCCCTGGCGCCGCCGGAGCAGAAGGAAGCGCCGAGGGGCTGCGCGGACGGCGGGTGTCCTGCAACAGGTGACGGAGGAGGGCACAGGTAGGAAAAGCCGTTGGCTCGCCCTGCGCGGGCCGGGAGGATCGGGAGGCCGTGCCCCTGCCGCGCGGCTGGGAGGAGCTACGGGAGCGGGGCTCGGGGAGGAAAGTTTGCTGGGAGCTGGGGTACGGGGCTCATCCGTTTCAGACGCCACTGTTTGTGGGAGAGGAGCGGGAGGGCGGCCCCGGCTTCCCGGGGGAACGTGGCCTGCTGCGCCGCCAGCTGTGGCCACCCAACTTTAGGAGAAGTTAACCGAAATGCGAGGGTGAGGCGGTGATGTTCTGCGTCCTGAGGTGTCAGGTGACCGCTGAAAAAGCGACGTCTCCTCTCTGGGAACTCTGCCTCTAAATGGTGTTCGAGAAAAGAATTTAAGAGTCATGAACTGAGTGATACCTAAAAAAGCCCATACGAACCGGCAAGTCACAGGCAGGTTCTGATAGCTTCACATGGAATGTCTTTGAATGTTGAACCTTTTCTTTTCTTCTCAGTCCCACTCCCAACACAAACAGACATTAAAGTTATTAGGAGAGGGAAATGTAGCTCTGACAGAGCTTCCAGAAGTGCTGTCTTATGAGGATGAGAAACTCTTTGTTGATTTAATTCTGACTGCTCAAACTCCCGATGGTTAAAGTAAATTTATTTCTAGCTCCCTTATCATTTACTACTTCTTCTGTGGCAAGTAAACATACAGGTCTGTTTCTAAATAGAAAAGAGACATCTAGCATTCTTGTGGCATAACTTAACATCTTACTGAAAGTAAAATATATCAAATACTTAGTTTAGATAAAGAGATAACTGCATTTTTTAGATTAACATAGCTGCACATATACATCAAATTCTAGCTTTTTTCTCCTAGTACAAATTACAGAAGTGGAGAATATATTCTAAAGAATACATTCTCTGCTTTAAGCTCTTAATTGTGTTAGCAGTGGAGTTCTTTTCATAGTAAATGAATGTCGAATAGCTGTTGAATGTTGAATGGCAGTATATGATATTAGGTAAAAGATCAGAGATGCTATGAATTCTATAAACATCAGAAGTTATTCTAACTAAGAATCATAGAATCACAGGGTGGCTTACATTGAAAGGGAACTCAAAGATCATTAGAGGATAGCATTTGATAGAAAATATTAAGATAATGGAGGTAAGACAAAAGGTTTACTCTCCAGGGTTTCTGAACAGAATAGTTTAAAAACTGCTGCAAATCCAATACTGTTGTATAGATGGTATATTTTGTGCACTGCTGAGCATCTTCAGAGATCTTACACACTGGCTGATGCTTACAGGGTTTTGATGGCACCTCTTAATTTATATGAACTTCCTCACAGAATTGTCAAGGTTGGAAAAGACCCCAAGATCATCCAGTTCAACCGTCCACCTATCACCAATAAATCATCACATCACATAAGTACTCTGTGATACATATCTAATCTACTCCTTTTGGGATTTTATAGCCTATTCCTTTCATGTTTTTCATTTATTGATAGTGAAACAACATCTAGTAATCAGTAGATACTAGGCTTGTTGAAGTCATATGCTAAAGTTTGCCAGAATTCAAAATAATGTAGATATCATTGTATTATTAATGAAAATGCCCCTTTGAAATATGAAAATGTTTAAGATATTTTACAGGCTGAGACTTCATTTTTGTTTTTCTGTCCTAGACCTTTTGGTTTATCCATATCAATTTTGAATGTTCTGAAAAGAGATGATCAAATACTGCAAAAATGTTGGTGGTGTCATTGATTACCAGTGCCTGATTCCATGGTCCAAAAATCTTCCTATGCCTCAACATCTGCTCTTTTTTTTTTTTTTTTTGTAGAAATTATCTCTTTGTAAATGATGCAAACTTTTGTACTTCATTATGGAGATACATAGTTGTGCACACATATATAACTGCACTTCAGTCCTGAATGATAGATGCTACCAGATATGTAAAGAGCCATACATTCTTAACTCTCAGCAAGCCTTAAGGCTAATATTTTCTTGGTACAGTGAGTATAAAATTGCTAGCTCATGGCTCCCTTTGGTATTTTGTCCTGAACACAGAATCACAGAACGATATAATTGCAGAGCCACAGAATCATAGAATGACTTGGATTGGAAGGGACATTAAGGATTATCCAGTCCTACCCCACTGCTGTGGGGTAGATCAGGCCACCCAGAGCTTCATCCATCCAAGATTTGAATCCCTCTAGAGATGGGACATCCACAGCTTCTCTGAACTTGTTCCAGTGCCTTATTACCATCTGAGAAAACAACTTCCTCCCAATATCTTAATCTTGCCTTTTAGTTTCAAACCCTGGTCATATCACTACATATTTTACAGCTATTTTAAAACATTAGAACTGTTGGGAAACATTTTTGTTTTGTGAAATCAATGAGAATTCATCATGAAACATACCCACAATGTTTCAAATGTAGAGAACAGGAGATCTCCAGGAGTGTGGCGTTGGTAGTATGTTATGTGAGAAGCAAGTCAACAAGGAAGTTTTGGGTTTATGCTCCATATTAATATATTTGTTACTACTTTTTTTTTTTTTTTTTCTTCCCATTTTTTTTCCTTGGAACTTGTATCCCCAAACCTTTCTTTCTAGTTGTTTCCTTCCGCTCAATACCCAAAATCTGTTCTGGAATTCTTTTTCCTGATAATAATATATGTATTTACAGAACTTCTCTGTTGGGGCTATTTATGGATTTGTAGCTACAGTATTTTCACATATCTAAGTTAAATACCTTAGTTGTAATATTCTGGAGTACATTATGGAATTTATGTCATAGGATAGAGAGGTTGAGTTCTGTTTTATTAATTTGCTTTGGTACATTTCTAAAGAACATCCTGTTGGGTTAATTGTACAGATATTTTTTGTGTGTAAGTAGGGTTACATGGATAGTTCCACTGTCCTTAGGAAGACCTTACATCATTATTCATGATATAAAATACTGAAATAAGTGCTCTACATTCCATATTGTTTTGTAAAAATAAAATAAAATAAAATATTTTACAGTGAGTTTAGTGTTAAGACACTGTTTGTTTGAAATCTCTCAAAAGCCTACATATCAAATTGTTTTACAGCTTGCATGTCAAATTTCAAAATGACTGCGTAAGATATCACAGATTCTATTTTGATCTTAATTATATAAGAAAAAGCTGTCAGAAAAACAATCTATACAGTGGATTTGCAATTAAGATTTAAAATCAACTCAAAAAATCTTGAAAAATACCAGTTCTAAGATTTCTCCTGTGTGTTATAATGGAGTTTTTGCATGATCATGTTTGCTTTTTCTACATGACCTATCAACCAACTCACAAGACGAACAGCACTCACTTAATAAGCCATGTTTTATTCTTTCCTTGCTCATTGAATTATAGAATGCTTTACTTGTTTTAAAACTATCCAAACCTTTACTTTGATGACATAATTACTCATGAGCTCTCAGTATTGTTCCATTTATGGGATTTCCTAACTTTGAAGTCTTTGGCTTTGCTTACCTCAATTTCCACCCCTCCCCCCCCCCAAGATTTGTTTGTTGGTTTGGCTTTAGGAAAGAATGGAAATGGAAGAGAAATTGTGTTGTTAATTTGTCTTCCCTGGGAAGCAGGACTGAAACTTCAGGATTCAGTGTCACTTGAATGGGTAGAATAACTAATGACAAAAGGAGGTTCACAGCTGTGTGGATAATTATAAGGATGATTATGTGTGGTCTGTGCAAAAGATCTGGAGATATGGCAGCTGAAGTGAAAGCGGTCTGTAGAACCTTCTGCTTTGAGATTCACATGGCAAGCACACACACACTTTTCTTCTTGTTCCCAAACTTAGTTCCATTAATTCCATCCTTTCTAAACTCCTTTTGTCTTAGTATTTATTCTTCCGGATGTTATCCTAGCCATGCTCTCCTTTGCACAGTCTCAATCTTTCGTGACTATATGATTTAAATCCTGGGCTTTTCACACAGAGAGTCTCACTTGATTTTCCTCATTTTTTTTGATTTCCTCTGCTATAGGACTGTCCGTTCTTTGTTATATTTTGTCCCAGATGCTTACACAAGTCAAGTCCAGCTGTCCTGTAATTGCTTAAAAACTGTTCATACCTCTCATCTTCTCGCACTTTTTCCTACTCTGTATTTCAGTATCCTTCAGAGCTTCCTCCACCTCAATTCTAATGGAATTTTTACACAGAATTTCGATTCCTGTGTTCCTTCTCTAGTGTCCACTTTTGCCCTGTTCTTCTGATTTCTTTCCTGAATTGCTGCCAAGTTGATGGTACCATTTGCTATATCTAATGGTCAGTAAGACCCCTGAGTGTCAGTAATTCGATGACGCAGTTTTATCTTATCTCTTTCTTAGATACCCATTTTAGAGTAAGATAAATTTTCATCCAGACATGCCTATTTTCCTTCAGTGAGTGTAACAGTAGTCTAGAGTGACTAATTTATATTAAATGTTTGATTTAATGTTTAATATTCAGTTAAATATGGAAGAAAAAAAAAATAGATAATCTGAAGTCTACGTTGCAAATTCAAATTATTCTAAATTAATGATATCTTGGTAGATTTTTATAGTGTGAGTAAAGAGCATATAACTCATCCTAATGCATGCAAAGGTGCTGTTATAAAACATGGGGACAGTAAACACACAAGAAACCAAGACTTAAAAGCTTTTTTTGTTATTATCCATGTAATTTAAATATTGAATGAAATGATATTTTCAACAGAGTCGTAGAATGTTCTAAGTTTGAAGGAACCCACAAGTAACACTGGCTCCATGCAGGACTACCCAAAAATTAAACCATGCGTCTGAGTGCATTGTCAAAATGCTTCTCGAATGCTGTAAGTCTTTGGTGCCATGACCATTGCCTGGGCAGCCTGTTCCAATGCTCAACCACTATCTCACTGAAGAATTTTTTCCAAATACCTAACATGAACCTCCCCTGACACAGATCCACACAGTTTGCATGGCACATACCTCTGATCTCAGAGAGCAGATATAAGAACCTCCACTT